ACATTACTAGTGTATATTAAATAAATACTTTGTTAATAATGCTCTGTATAGACGTGAGGGTACAATCCTAAACATGGTGTTTGTGAACTAGTACATTACTAGTGTATATTAAATAAATACTTTGTTAATAATGCTCTATATAGACGTGAGGGTACTTTCTTAAACATGTTTATTTTGAACTAGGACATTACTAGTGTACATTAAATAAATACTTTGTTAATAATGCTCTATATAGACGTGGGGTACAATCCTAAACATGGTGTTTCTGAACTAGTACATTACTAGTGTATATTAAATAAATACTTTGTTAATAATGCTCTGTATAGACGTGGGGGTACTATCTTAAACATGGTGTTTGTGAACTAGTACATTACTAGTGTATATTAAATAAATACTTTGTTAATAATGCTCTATATAGACGTGAGGGTACTATCTTAAACATGGTGTTTGAGAACTAGTACATTACTAGTGTACATTAAATAAATACTTTGTTAATAATGCTCTATATAGACGTGAGGGTACTATCTTAAACATGGTGTTTGTGAACTAGTACATTACTAGTGTATATTAAATAAATAATTTGTAAATAATGCTCTATATAGACGTGGGGTACAATCCTAAACATGGTGTTTCTGAACTAGTACACTACTAGTGTATATTAAATAAATACTTTGTTAATAATGCTCTGTATAGACGTGGGGGTACTATCTTAAACATGGTGTTTCTGAACTAGTACATTACTAGTGTATATTAAATAAATACTTTGTTAATAATGCTCTATATAGACGTGAGGGTACTATCTTAAACATGGTGTTTCTGAACTTGTACATTACCAGTGTATATTAAATAAATACTTTGTTAATAATGCTCTGTATAGACGTGGGGGTACTATCTTAAACATTGCGTTTCTGAACTAGTACATTACCAGTGTATATTAAATAAATACTTTGTTAATAATGCTCTGTATAGACGTGGGGGTACAATCCTAAACATGGTGTTTCTGAACTAGTACATTACTAGTGTATATTAAATAAATACTTTGTTAATAATGCTCTGTATATCCGTGGGGGTACAATCCTAAACATGGTTTTCTGAACTAGTACATTACTAGTGTACATTAAATAAATACTTTGTTAATAATGCTCTATATAGACGTGAGGGTACTATCTTAAACTTGGTGTTTGTGAACTAGTACATTACTAGTGTATATTAAATAAATACTTTGTTAATAATGCTCTGATTAGACGTGGGGGTACTATCTTAAACATGGTGTTTGTGAACTAGTAAATTTACTAGTGTACATTAAATAAATACTTTGTTAATAATGCTTTATGTAGAAAGTGGGGGTACTATCCTAAACATGTTTATTTTGAACCTGGGCATTACTAGTGTACATTAAATAAATACTTTGTTAATAATGCTCTATATAGACGTGGGGATACTACCTAAACATGTGTTTTTGTTTATTTAACTGGGACATTACTAGTGTACATTGAATGGTTACTTTGTGCTATGTATGTAAGTTACACCTAGGGGTACTATTAAATGGTTACTTTGTTAATAATGTCCTATATACATATTACACATGTTTATTTTGATCTTGGGTATGATTACTATTGTACATTAAATCTTCTCTTCGTTGGGAATTGCACTGTGCACAATTTAGAATGTTATCAGTTGGACTATTAATGATGTCATATCTAAATCATGCAACTGTAAATACGCATCATATACTAAAATACGGTACTTCCACTGACGCCAGCAGACACGAGTGAATGCCGAGAGTTCCAGCAATTAGATTGGTGCGCGAATATTGATTCCACTCTGGCGGTAATCGCTTACTTATATATAATTATATATTTTTATATGTATTACTTGTATATTTCCAGTTCGATAAAATGAAACGGCGCAGTGTTTAAAGTGAAACTATAGCTGATATAACGCCGCCTAGTATGCTAATGTTGTTGACAAAACAGTGATATATTACACATGAACGTATGTTTGTTTGTGTTTTGCACTACAATTCACCAGAATCTTTTTAAGCGATATGTTTGAACGACGCATATAATGGGCGGTAAGCGGGTCGTATAAACATTTGGTAGCGCGAGCCAAGTTCGGCAGTATGTGACTCCAAAGTATGTGGTATGCACATGTTCTGTACTACGCTACACAGTGGATGTACGCACATCATGCATGAAGCAAAAGTACGATACACATACGGCGCCGCTCAACTAATAGTCTGGGCCAGTGAATTCCTTCTTCAAAATATCTTTACCCTTCAATGAGTTTGAATAAACTGTTACATTAAAGTAAATTTCATTAGATATTTGCTTAATTTGTCTGTACTGGACGAGACTGTCTGTATCCTCGCTCAGAGCACCAGTAAGCGATTTGTCCAACGCAATAATTGAAAAGTAAATAATGACAGAAACCACCTCCTTCGGTGAAAGACTACAAGGTTACGATTGCAATCTAACCAACATTTTGGTTAATTATGCGGGATGAAATAACATGTGCCCATTAATTTTTAAAGTCAATAAAGCATAGAATATCTGAAAATAATAATTTCAAGCCATTTCTTTGTCTGACCCAAACTTAAAGTCTCCCATGTTCTGCGCGTCTTGGTTTGCGATCCTTTGCAGTAATGAGTCTGGATAAGCAAGTCATGTCTACAGAGACTTGACAGTAGATTGCAATCAGTAATTAAAACAGAGCTGATATGTTCTCTTAATAGCTAGTCGATCAGATTTGCTTCGCGGTAGCACTTAGGATCGGCTGAATGACTAATGATAAGCATATTAACTCGTTCAATTAATGTCCTGTATGAAGCCTTAATATTTGAGATCTTGTTTTATTTAAAGACAGCATTTGCGTGGACAAGGATAAATAAGAAAACTAAAAACAATTTTCCACACACAACAAATATTAACGGAACCAGTCAAATGTTTATACAGAAATTATTTAATAAGTTTAAAGCATAAACGATCGGGTAGCTCATTCATTTCTTCATTATTTATAAATACTAATACATTTCTCAGCGATACCAAAACAACATTTTCCCGACACGTAATAATTCTGAAAGCCTTTCAAAAATCAAAAAAATTCCATCAGATATCCATATTCCACCTAGAATAGATTTTGATCGATTTATAGAAAAGAAGCATGACTGCAAAATGTTTTATAATAACCATATAATGAATCACGTTATAAGTTGTATTCCAATTTGCCCGAACCGGTGTAAGTTTTTCATCAACGGATTTGACCTCTATTTTTTGTTCTTGGACATCGTCGACATAATAACCTTACCGTAGTATTATTCCTTGATTTTCTACCCAACCTGATCGTGACACGTATATACGTCGTGTTTATACAAAACACCTGCATTGCTTCGATCATCTCCTAAATGCCATTCACGCACACTCTCGATATCTGTATCTACATAGTACGCAGTCATAATACAGAGCACGTAAAACGAGAAAATAAAACTACCGGAAGCCGAAGGTGATGTCATAAGTACTATCAGTATAACAACTGATTACATAATTCATCGTGATCTAAACATGCTCAGAATAGAGCCAACCTAATCAAGTCAATTATGACGTCATCATTCCAAGCATTCTAGATAAGATTATGCTTGAGTGAAACAATCAAACTATTTATAGGTTATTCAAAAACAATTTGGCAAAAACCACTCACGTCAGGGGTGTGTTGATATTATAAATGAAGTGTATGTAGCAAGACGTTTTCCAGCTTTTCAACATTGATATTGAGTACATCGAATTTATTGCTCAATTTCGAACACTGTACGGCAAGAGTCTCTCGATGTCTTATTGCGGATTCTCTAAACAAGTACGTATTTAAAATTGCTCGCAAATTAAACATATACTATTCTAATTTACACAGCATTTTGGCAAAAGTTCCAAACATTCGATAGTTTAAGCTCTATTGTTAATTACACAACAATAAATATTGTGGGCACTGTGCTGCCCAACGTTGCAGCATACATCGATCTTTTACTTTCAATGTTCGCAAACTTGCTCATTGTCAGTATAAGCTGTGAAAAGACGCTGTTGCACAAATGATAAAGAGGTCATTTGTGGGTAATTTTAGAGATAACGTCCTGTATATTTTCCCTGACAATGAAAGTCTTAAATCGTATCAGTCAACGCATAGACCGAGTAGTAGTGCAATTGCTACGGACGGACTAGTGGGATTCTTGAACTTGAAATATTGAAACACCGCTAGTAAATGCTCAAGCAACGCATAATACAGGTAATATATCGATTTACATCTGAATGACACTATGCATCCATGCACGGCAATGGTGGACGCGTCCAACTTCTTGCGCATGCGTATTGCGGGTTATGATAACTTTCATCAAAATGGCGGCAGTGTGCTACTCATTAAGCTTTAGTGCTGCGTCTTACGTAATTACTACGTTTTCTTCTAAGGGCGATGACTGCCTAATCACATAACGCATTAAATAAACAGTCTTGTGTCGCGCCACACTGACCGCTACTCACCCAGTTTCTTTTCGTCTCAGCATATTCCAACAGCTTTTGTTGTAATCGCTCACCTTCCCCGCCGGCCCTTCCAAATTCTTCTACTATCTTCCTCGAGTTCTCATACTGTTCCACAGATAGTATCGGCTTCAAAATTTGTAAATACTTTTCCAAAGTTGCATTCAGAGGGGGTACTGGTAATTTTGGTAATGGCTTCTGAAAATATACAAGTATGCATAATATGTATTTAACTAATATAGGTGTCTGGCCCATCTTTGTGAGTTGTCTTCCAATGCTCAAGTACCTCCAACTCTAAAACCAGGCATAGAAAATAAAATTAATTTGCAAATAAACATAATATGTATTCCTTTAATGGATCATGCAAGAGATATTGGTCGAAATATACATTTTTCTCAAAAAAAGTCGTGTTGAGTCAGATTACCGCGGTATATTCAACAGAAACATCGCCAAACATCAGTGGACTCCGTGCTGGAACTGTGGTAAATGTACTTTGCGTGAAATCGAACGCACATAACAAGTGTAATCGACTTCGACAGTTTAAACACAACGTAACAAACACGCAAGGATTTAAATCATTTGTTTCGACGTGTTTATTAAGTTCGATTTACAAAACCCGGTGTTGTTTCCATACAGTTATTTCGGCAATTAATGTGCGTAATTATACTGCCAGGTTTTGACTTTTTCTTCTGATTAATAATTACGTCATACGTGACCCGAGTACTTAAATATGACACTACCGTTAGGTTCAGGAACTGAGAAGTTGGATAAAACGTGTTAATATATTTTTGGTATATTTTCTCTACTTCGATCGATGCAGGGGGTGAAAAAACATTTGTAATAATTAAAATATTCCCCGTAATCTGTAGGTGACGGTATTAACTGTAGTTACCATATATTATTTGCTGAACATACAACGGAGTTTATCAATATAAAGTGTATATTATTTTGTTGGAGTTGAAATTGCATTTCTACTTTATATGATCTGAAAGAAACCTCTCTCTAATCCCTGTAATCACCATAAATGCTTTATAGTTTGTACAGTTCATGAGATATCTTAACCAACAAAATCCTGAAATGGAATTTAGAGACTCTTGACAAAATGACAAAATTATGTCTGATTCGGTGATGCTAGTGCTCAAATGTTTCAGAATTTGTTGCCATACAAACTGATTTTATAATTTTATATAGTGATCGAAATTATAAGTGTTTATTTAACGGCTGACAATCCCGTAAGACAATTAAAAACGACTCGTTTCAAAAGTAACAAACAATATCTAACAGAAATGTGCAAACCACGTTCCAGACGCCGTGACGTGTGCGGAATACCTACTTGCGTCTCGTCGGGAACATTTCCACTGGTACCTGCCTGCATCGTCTTTCACTCTAATCCAGCAAAAGAAGTGATCACTTATTTAAAAACAATACAGATCACAAATCCACCGACATATACAACTGCCCTATCATGTATAATGCCAGAACTTCTATCACTACATTAGTAATCGCCAGACGACTTCTCTCTTAATTGTCACTTGTAAGGTTTTTGCAGACCCATGTACAAGTCGTACGTTTCCCGAGCGGATATCCTGTCTCTGTAAAACACTTCGCCTAATCACTCGATTATATTTATAGGATAAAATATTAAACAGTAAATGGAGATTACAATACTCGAGCCTATTTGGTAATCACTGGAGCTAGAACAAAGACATGCGCATTGATGAAACGCCGTTTTTATGATAATTTACTTTTACATCCATCGTCTTTAGTGGATGTCTCATTGATCATCACATGCATGCATAATTTATGCTAATTGCCTCACACTTATACATTTTTCTAAAGAGGACGTACCAATATTTATTATAACCATTCATGCGATGTGTCTTTAATAACTTGAATGCATCTTTGCCTTCCTTTAGTAAAATGCCCGGCGGCATATATAAACTACTCTCTATATGTTGCATCGTTTAATTTACGCTACTTGCATACTGTCACTAGCATGTGATGTCCTTGGCTTTTCTTGAAAATTTCTTACGGCGTCGAAATATTACTTTGAAATTATTCGACTTTCGTGTATAACTCTGTACCGCTCGGCTCGGAAAAACAGGGTAAAACACGCTTTAATTTCATTATCACGCGAGATTATTCATAGTCTATTAATTTAATTTTCAGGCTTAACTACACACCGATGATGTATTATTGTTATAGAGTGGTTCGTTTATATATCCTACGCCTAAGCGTATGAAACCATGGACAACAAAATAAATATAACAACAACGACATCGATCGGTTGAAAATAGTCTTGTCAAGGTGTCGAGGGGTTTAAATTACACAGTTATTAATGATGGTGTAACAGTTACGTTCTGAATTTGATCATTTTTAGGTGGCCCAAACCCATTACATAATGCCTAACCAGGTTTTGCCACCAGACTGAACGTCATAGTAACACGAAAAGACGTATTATGAATAAAATTGAAATTACAGGCACATATACTAACATATAATTATGCAGCACGAGATTCGAACTCACAACTCGGCAAATGCACCTCACTAATGTTAACTATACCACTCTAAAAATAATTTAAGAATAATTACTGTATCATTTGAAATCAATATCGTATGAGTTTTAGAAATGTACTGTCACAATACAATGACGTCTTTGATGAAATGTGTTTATTTTTTCCGAACACGACTTGGTTTAAAAAATGTTTGCACAACTTGTCGGTTCGATAAATAACATTTACATTTTAAATTGTTTGCAAAAGCAAATCTTGAAATAGGTGTATCACACTCGCCTTGAAGTGAACCTTGTCATTTTTAAAGTTACGTAGTATTTGTAGTTTGATTAACGATGTTGTGAGATTGCATAATGGTACATACTAAATTTGACCAAAATTCTGATAAGGAATACATTAAATAAATAACCAACTTTTTTTAATGAATATCTTACATACTAATAATGATATATAGTTTCGGGCCTCGGACGTTTACTATAAACCTGACCCTAAACAGGCCGTTAACTACCGTTAGCGTCCTCGTGGTCGTAGAATAACTATCAGTAAACTCATAATGGCTGCTACCAAATCACACCTTGTACGTGACGCAGGAAAGGTATGTGGTCTACCAATGAAACCGCCTGACAATTTAAAATTGGGTTATAGGTATTTAAAAGAAAACTGTGCTAATGCTTCTTCAAATAATACATCAAACATGCGTGACGTATTTCTTTTTTCGCACAATATGTCCTAATTAGGTGTATTCAAACCATGACGTCATCAGTATTGATAATAAATGTTCCCTAATAGTTTTTTTAAGCCATGACGCGATACAATACTTGCTAATGACGTTTATTCAAACTATGACGTCTTCGGTGTTGTTACAAAATATTTCATAATAAAGTTACTTTAAAATTTGACGTCCTCTGTTTTGTTACACATCATTTTTTATACGGTTGATTCAAACCGTGACGTCCTCAGTTTGGTTACGCAGTATTACCTGGGGATTGTTGTTATTCCTTGTCGTCATCGGTGTTGTTACAAAATGTTTAAATAGGTTTATTAACCCACGACGTTTTCAGTTTTATTACACAATATTTGCTAATAAGATTTATTCGAACCATGACGTCATCGGTGTTCTTACACAAAGTTTTCTAATAAGCTTTCTATAAACCATAACATTCTCAGTTTTGTTACACATTATTCCCTGATACAGTTTATTTAAACTATGACGTTTCAATTGTTGGTTACGCAATATGTTGATAATAGGTTTCTTTGAACCATAACCTCAGTTTTGTTACATAATATTTGCTAATGAGGGTTATTCGAGCCATGACGCCATGAGTGCTGTAACAAATTGAATACCTAATAAGTTTTTTTTTTAAATCATGTCGTTCTCAGTGGTGTCATCAGTAAAAGTTTGTTTAACCCACAACGTTACACAATATTTACTAATGAGGGTTATTCGAACCATGACATCATTGGTGTTGCTACAAAATGATTTATAATAAAGATACTTTAAACCCATCGTTTTATGTATTGCTACACAACATTTTCTAATACGATTGATTCGAACCATGAAGTTCTCAATTTTGTTACACAGTATTACCTGATGAGTTTTTTATTTTAAACCATGAAGTCATCACTGTTGTTACAAAATGTTTCATAATAAGGTTTCTTTGAACTATGGCGTTCTTAGTTTTGTTAAACAATATTTGCTCATGAGGTTTATTCGGACCATGACGCCATCACAGTTGTTACAAAATGATTCCTAATAAAGTTTCTTTAAACTATGATGTCCTTAGTTTTGTTGAACAGTACTTTTTTCTAATGAGGTTTAATCAAACCATGACGTCGTCAGTGTTACAAAATGATTACCTAATAAAGTTGTTTTAATCATGTCGTTCTCAGTGTTGTTATGAAATCTTTAATGATAAGGTTTCCTTAAATCATGACGTCTTCCGATTTATGTTTTCTAATACCTTTGCTTCAAACCGTGACATCCTCAGTTTCGTTATACAATATTTTCTAATGAGGTTTATTTGAACCATGTTATCGGTGTTGTTCAAATTCAAAAAAAATTACAAAATGATTGTTGTTACAAAATGTTTTCCATTGAGGTTTCTTTAAAAAACTGACGTCTATAGCTTTTTTTTAAAGCTATAGCGTTTCCAGTGTTGTTACTAAAGCTTTCAGAATGTTGTTTCCCCAGCGTTGTTACAAACTATTTCCTAATATGGTTTCTTCAAACCTAACGTTTTTAGTTTGTTACACAATATTTCCTTTGAACCACGACTTCTTCAATTCTGTTGCAAAATGTCCAATTAACATTACCCTAAACAGTTTATCAGAGGGATAAAGTTGATTAAACATCAGTAAGTCAGTCAGTCAGTCTCAAAATTAATAAAAAAATCAAATTAGAATGACGGATTTATAGAGACAGAAAACTCAATGACAGATTCAGTGCATACAGAGAGATATTTTCTTATGAGTGGTGAAGAGACTTGAAAACAAGCGGGGCTGCATTTTTTCATTTATTACAGTGGTATTTGTAACACTCAGTGGTAATTATTATCTCGGTTTTATTTTGAGGTGGAAGTGTTTTTTTAATAATGCCTTCACTTTCAGATATGTTGTTGCAAATTTTACAATACGATCATCTGATATGAATCTGGCAAAATATGACATCGGGCATAGAGCAGAACAAATCAGGAAAATCTATATTGACAATCAGCATACGATTGACAAGTGCTTCTAAATTGAATACAAAAATAAATGTCGAATATGACGTTTGTTTGTAAAGCAGTATGTACTTCTTTTCACAATTATTAAACTCCATTTGACAGCGCTAATACAAATGCCTTGCGCAAGAAGTTAGTGAGGCCGCGGTTTGTCTGTAGATTTCGGAAACTATCAACACAACCGCTGTTACGTCGCAGTCACTCGTCGTCGTGCCTTATTCATTTATTACGTTATTTATATTTGGACATTTTAAAGTATGCCTTGTCATTCTGATATATATAAGGTGACAACGGCACTATATATCAGAGCGAATATCAGGGTGATATATATGGAATATATTTACAGATGTGGAAGCGATCACTACCCACAAAATGTAAATTAATGCATAATTAACTCATACGGATATTTTTGTGTAGATTAAAGACAGGTTTTTGAAGATAAAAGTCGTTTTAGATAAACCTGCCCAATGTACCATATTTTATTTCAGAATAGTTCCATGTGAGATTTGTTTTGTGTATAAATACCATTACTAATCACAATGACAACTGCTCAAGAACACGCAGGCGACCATGAAAATGAAAGTCAACATATGGGAATGCTAGCTTTATTTTATTAATAACTACGATTTAGGCCACCGCTGCCATATATAAAGCAGTCACGCGATGGATATATCGCCGGTTTTCTCTCGTAGTGAAAATAAATACTTTGTATAATTTATATTTTCCAGGTTAGTTCAAAATAAGAATGAGGCGATCTTACTCGCATTTAAATGGAAATGGAATTAAAAAAAATGCTTTTCATAGAAGACAATGATTAGCTATTACCTATTTTGAATTCGAACAAAATACTATCGTAATGTATGTACCCAGATTGCAATCAATCAGATCATCAGACTTTCTTTTATTTCTGACAAAATATTGTAGTCCCCCTGTTTTATTTGTCGCCCGCTCGGTATACATTGTTTGTTTACACATAATGTTAACAAAATGTTAACAGGATTCGACTTACCGTAAGAATCGGGTCCTTGATATCCGCATCGACATCATCTTCTCCATCGAGATGTCTATTTCCTATGAAATCTTTTCTTCTCCTATTGGACATCGATGGTAACACTCGCCCTGCTTTCAGCGGGTCACGATTTCCTCAATCGACGATGGTTCCTTGGAGTTCTAAATTAAGGTTTGACTTGTCGATAGTAACAATACAACCTACAGAAAGGGAAAAAATATCCGGATGTCAGTCTACCCAGTAGCGTCATTAAATGTGATTGAGTTACAGGTGAGTGACAGGATCCCACTGCGATACAGCATAACTTTTAATGAATGTATAATAAGGTCTTCTGTATAACAAATATCAAAATTTGGTACATAAACCACAAATTTTCACGTTTTTTTTAATTTCTTGTTTTAAACCAGCCTCTTAAAGAATTGTGGTCTTTGTGTCACCTCCTATTCGATATGGGACTCATAGCGACGTACACAACGCGTATAAAATACATTGTTTGTTTACATGAAATTTGAATACGCGCTGCGCGATGACCACCGCCCTTAAAATTGCAAACATTTTTAATTTATTGAATGATGCCTATGGCTTGTACATGTGTTTGAAATTGAAGAAGTTATATAGCGTTATGCAAATAAGATGTGCTACTAATGGTCTGTGTAATGCAGTGAAGCCAGGTATTTATGGAAAGCCATACGAAACCCATAACATTACAATACAATACCCAATATATAGACAGCCTCCAAACAGTTTAAAACATTTAGGGTGGCTTTCGAACACTCTCCCACTAACTGCATGCGGTATTAGGCTTCTTTATAAATGCCCTTCAATTCTAAATATTTTTATCGGGTTTTGGTTGACGGTTTTCAGACACTTGGTGGTGATCGTCGTGTAGCCTTTGTTCAATGTGGGACTCATAGCGACGTATGCAACGCGTGTAAAATACATTGTTTATTCACTTGAAATTCTGACACGCGCTATACGACGAGCATCATCCTTTAAACAGCAAGTTAAAGCATCGGGATTATGTCTTACGAGAAGACTAATACAATATATCGAGTGTGTTATCCATATTTCACTTATGGATAAAGTTGATAATAAAAAACGACCCAGGTCTTGTGGGCTTACCCCCAAACGATGAAGCAATTTAGAAACATTTAACCGTCCTTTAAATACTTTGAGGGAATGTTATAAGTGTCCTGCCAATGAGTATAATACTAAAACACAAAAAGAACACATGTAATTGGGGATATTATAAAAAACAACAGCAATGTTAGATCTTTTACACTCACAGGTAGCTAGAGCAAATATAAACAAAAGATTAGGTCTGCAGGACGTCACAAAGCCCCCATCTACCATATCTAATTGTTACTAATTATAAAAGTGGTTGTTGAAAAAGAATGTTAGCAAATAAACACACAGACAGACGATTGTAACTATGCCACTTTTATGTGTTACTAAATAAATATAACCAGGATATTTGCTTTTGCATTCAAATTATCAGTGTTTTAGTATACAGTCAGCTGGCAAACAGTGATAATAAAATAAACTATATTTACTATATAGTGGCAGCCATCTTGAATACGACTGGAAACTAAAAAAGACGAGTTGGGAAATGGTTTTTCAGTTTCCTACAAATCGGGAGGGGGGGGGGGCTTTCACAGCCAAACGATACGTTTGGGCAACAGTAAACCTATCGCTAACAAAATATATACATAGCTGTTGGAGTAAACACGACATTACAGGCCATTTACAGTGCCTCTCTTATTCCACAGCACGTATGTTTATGAGAGATCGTGCAACTACACACATTTTCCAAACTAAAAAAATATACATATCATGACCACACAACACTTTAACTTTCGCAAATTAATCGTTATTTGTGTCCACAAAGCCAGAAATCTGTGAAAGACTGGCTGGCCATGGGTCCGCTACTTTACAATATAAACAAGGGAGGAAACATCAACCTCGAAATACCTTAACAATTATTATTTTTTTAGCTCGACCTATTACCGAGTGTCGATCAGTTCATATATTAATTGAAAATGTCGAACAAATTACTAAAATAGAAATCTTTTTCCAACCTTTTCGGGTAGTTTCCGCTAGAATCAGTGATTGGAACGTGCTAAGATACCGAACATAAATTTGGCACTCTACACATGCGCAAAAAACGCCCTCCAACGGATCATTAATGAAATGATTGAAACACGCGTGTGCAGATGGTCAATTTTATATATCACCTCCCTTCACCAGTTACGACAAAAAATCCCTCACCTGATTTGGTGAGCACGTTTCTGCTGACTTACAAAATGTTTCTCACTGAATTTTGCTTACCATTTACATACCCCTATGTCTGGAAACTGTCAAACAAAACCACCGATACTAGCGTTTTGTTTCTGTGTCTTGAAATTATCAGACACAAAACCCTGATACCTTAATTAAATGTTTCGGGCATTTCTAATAAAGTATCGGTGGAATACATAACATCCAAGATGAAGCCCAATATGGTAGTTAGATGTGAGTGTTCGGAAATGACCCAAAATTATGCCTTATATTGTGCTAACGCATTTTGTACGGAGTATCGTACGGCTTCCAATATTTTGTCTGTGCGTCCTAGGAGAAATTGGCTTATCGACCAGTTGACAGACAATGGAAAAAAATGCATTCAAACTTAGTACGTCTCTGTACACGTGAACGATGGGGTTCGGTCATTTACTAACGTCACCGCGCCCTCTGACGCCTATCAATTTATTAACGCGCTCTGTGCGACAGTGCTCGAAATGGATTCACGTATTTAATTTATAGCTATCAGCAGTTTTAAGGTCGTCTAAATCTTCGGAGAGTTTACATGACAGGTGTGACGTCACAGGGCATTTCATTAATTGGATCTGAACGGAATAAAGTTTTTTTTTTAATTCTTTAGTATCGTTTGCTGTGCGTATATATTTTTGTACTATTATGCTTACACACATGGTCGCGTTTTTCCACGACTCATAACTTTAGTCCATTCGCGTGCCGTAAGTTCCTACGTGAGAGCACGTAAACTTAATGTCATATTCCACTTAAAGTGAGCATTTTATAGATCGGTTTATTCTCAGTGATTACAAATTAAATTAACAGCTTGTAATAACGTCACTGCTAGCTGAACGGCCGGATATGGGATGTGCCTTCTCGGTAGTTTAATTGTAGTACGAGGAAGTAACACTAGAACTAATAGAAATTATGAATATTCAATTATCATGGGTCAATTAACTATTTTGAATAAACAAATATTGACATTAACGTGAACGCAAATGTTCCTGTAATCCCTCGGGGAAAGGAAAATGTTTTTCCAAGAAACAACAGTATTGGATTGACATAAAGTTTAGTTGCCTGATTTAGTGTACGGGACCGGACTGTTTATACAACATTGTTTGCAACAGAAAAACCTACAATTTTTAAAACAGCTTTTCCAAATAGACAGAATTAACAGAATATCTAACGTGCGGTATTTTCTTTTTCTACAGCCGCCAATGTCCAGCACATTCACACTTGAGAAATGTTTCATCAACTGGGAAGGTGAATTTAACTTTAAGTGAATTCCATTATTACAGGTTACCTGTGTATGTCGATGACCGAGTACGTCGTTTCCGGTACTAAATTTGCCGGAGGATTGTACGACTATAGGTTAATACAAAATAAGCAAATAAATGACGAGTTTTCCGCCGCTGATTGATTGGACTACTAAGCGAACAAATTGCCAATCAATTATGTATTTCTGTATGCTGATTTATTAGTTGACACCTTCAATGAACGTTGCATCTTCGTCGTAAATTGAATCAATGACGTCACTTTGTCCACTGGGGGAAATATCGTCCTGATTGATAACGTTGAAGTGGCGTACCGGGTTCGTAATCATCGACTATGCAGATTCCTAGTGTAAATACTAACTATACGTACCCAAAAATATTGATGTAGCGAAATACTGGGAATTTTTAGCAGTTTTGTTTCTTTTGCATAAATTTCGGTATAATGCAATGAATATGCACAAAATTCTCAGCATGTTATTATAATTGATTCTATCAAAATAATATACACTTAAATGCAAATAAGGTAAAACAACACTGTAGCATCGGAATTATTATTAATATCCTACCTAGGTTTGAACTCTATAAAAAAAGCATGGGTGAGTGTGCCGCAAACACAATAGGGAGGCCAAATCCATTAGCCGAAATTCTTTCCAGATGGATGCAATTTCTGGGTTTAAATCGGGGGGATACAACGCACGCTAAAGGAAAATGCTCACGGATAGACGCTTGTTTGTAAACAACGACACGCTATGGCCGTCCGACCGTCAGAATTAGACCCAAAAATGTGGAGAACTGTGAAATATTGAAGTAAGCTATGATGACAAAGAGAAATAAACTTCCAACAGAACCGAAAAACGACGTATGGCGCAACGCGTTGCTACGGTCTAATTACCTACAGAGGGCACGCTTTCATTTTGGGGCCTCCTGGGCGTTATCTATGGCTGCGCACGTCGTTCCGTAAATTTTTAAAATTTCCATGAAAATGACTGAACAAAAATTAGTTGTTGAGTAAATCTATGCTTAAACATTTAATTCGGAATTAATAAAGAGACTTCTTGGATGGTAATCGATGCTGTGTATGTATTACCTTACAAGAATGTAATGCAAAGCGGTTGTATTTTGGCAGCGTTTTGAAGGCTGCATTCATCAATAATTAAATGTGGTCACATTCTTATCTTGAGAATTGCATTTTGGTGGTATTTACTTAAAATTTGAAATGGTCGCTGTAGTTGATTGTTTTGATTGAAAACAGTCGTAAATACAAGTACGGTATAAATCATCAAAATGATCGAAAACTAGATTTACGGCTAATCCATGTTTAATTGACAGAAATGCCATTTTGATACGAAAAGTTCACAGTGCATTGTAACATAATTTGAAACATAGAATATAGTTTATGTGACAAAATGAACTCCACGATCGTCAAAACTTGCACTTTGAATTTGTTAATACAACCGTCAGAAGAAGGCAGTGACTTTTGATATCGTATGATATAAAAAAATATTGTTAACAAAAATAGCTTTATGAGCCCGATTGTGCAGCTTGCATCAGAGTTTAGCAACTATCTTGTCTGTTCAATTTAAAACATGAGATTAGAATTGTTTATTAGTAAGGAACATATATGTATGTTTCAACAATTTTGTTCGGGTGTTCGCCTTTGTTGTTCATTTTGTATTAATCGGATTCCCAGTAAATGCTGCGAAATTCCTAAAATCGAATATCTTAGAATCAAGCATTGTGTAAACTTTTATTATCGTAATAATAATGAAACTAAAGAGCCCGAAAGTGTGTCTTTAATATTCATATTGTTACATTATATACAGCTGTACTTGTCCATTGCACGATAACAACTATTTAAAAGACACCATGGTGATATCTGCATATGTCGTGCATAACTAATTCAACATGTATCAACAAAGTTGTCATCGATTTTTTCATAAAACACCGAATACCGAAATATTGATTGTGTATTATCGATTATCGGGTGCAAATTAATGGCTTTTATCCCTCGCATTTCTGTCAGCGGATAATTGATATGCCGACAACTCTCACTGAGTTAGACACACATTTGTTGTTCTTTATGTGTTGTCTTTGGGAATCTTGTGTTGAACTTCTGTATATAATATGATAGAAACATTGTGTTTATCTAAAATGCGGTAATCATATCGACCATTGAGTATGTATGTTGTTGGATGAGGTTAAAACATTTGCCTGTCATTAAAACAGATCGTCAGGTTTCCTTGTAATTTACATTGAGGTTTCAATTTAAGAATCTGTTCGCAAACCTCAGTGAACAATTGTTCGCACACAATTTGGTATTGGTTCTATGGTGAAAAGGTCCCATCATATATCAACATTTTTTACATAGACTCATATGGATAAATATCCTAAACTATTCATTTTTGAAATTTTTATACAGTTTTTCTTGAAAAAAAACAACATCCAAAGTGTTGAAACATTTTGAAACCTATTGCCCGCGAATGAGCTTAATGTGAACAACATTGAGTGGTTTAGTATTTGTTATATATTGATCTGACACTAGATTACGATAAATAAATTTGTTCGGCTACAAAATAATTAACGACACAAATGTGAAATAATGGTAAGTACTATTAAATCAAAGTAATATGGACGATTATCACATGTATATGACGTAGTTTTATGCACAATTGAGTGGAATACCATGCTAGACGATTATTACTTAACTTTTTTTGGGTAGCGAACACATTTTAATGATCAATGCAATTTGAATTTCTTGTACATATTACTGAATCGACGAGCATGCGCATTACATGGTGAGATTTTACACATGACAAAGTTTGATTGCCGTGTTTTTGTTTTTGAGGTGACAACATGTTTATTTTACAAATGCATGTCGTCTACGTATTTCAGATTCATTTAAAAGTAGTTTTGTACTATTGATCTTGTATTTAGAGTTTAGCGTACTTTGCCTTCCCAGCCCAACATTGATCCCGTAATAACTCAAATCCTCTTATTTGGCGATTACCCATATGTGAATCAATTACCATACATACAATATATGCTTCGCATATATCGGGCTAATCTGCACTGGCTCGGAAGGTTGTAAATGATTAGCTAGTTTGAATTTCTAATTTGCATAACATTACTGAGAATGAACGTGCATTCAACGCCACAAGTTTTTTGTTTTTTTAGCCAATCAGAATTCATCTTCCGAGCCAGTGCAGATCAGCAGCATATATCCTTCGTGACATTGACGTCGTCTGTGACGCCCTCCCGGGTTATGTTTGTCGTAATGATGACTTTGAATGTTTTCTGCAGTGAGAGTGGACCGGTATCTTCATTTTATCGTCGTCACTTTCTTGAAAACGTCTATTGAACACGCAATATAAACAAGTAGGGTTGCCAACGAGCGAATTTAAATATCGCCCACTCTTATAAACTCGTGCTATAACAGCGCTTTATTGGCAACATCTTGTGCAAAGGAAAGTTTTCCCATGTCTCAAAATGCCCATAGTTCCATCCTACTAGACATCTGTCGGAGATAGTAAACGTTCACATTGCTTGGAGGCTGAATGTATTTATGTTAATATACTACATGGGAATATTCAACTAATTAGTATGACCTAGTCCACGTGGTTTCGAACGTTCGTACAACCTCTTATACTGACCTGAACAATTATTGAAGGACTCGACAAATAAATGAAAACTCGTTCAAGGTTTCAGGAGTCCCGGTAGTATTAAATCAACATTTCAATAATTGCATTGTCATATATTGCTTCCCCTTCCATTGTGATTTGCTATCACTATGTTACGTGTATTTTGAAGAGCAAGACAAACCTTGAATGAAGAATTGTACTCAAATACACCGCTATACTGAACCAGATTAAATTCTTTAAACTGAATACATAGTTTAATCAAGATAGAAAAGTGGTTGTAACTAATTCACATCACGACCCAAACACTTTTTTGTCATGTCTGTGTACAATTTCTTTTCCCGTGCTTTTTGTATGTGTTCATCACAGTGGGACTGTGTGTGTTCTATGTGGACGCATAGTGCGCATGCTCAGTACACAGCATATTTCGCAACAGTGCTGCGTATTAAAACGGGTTTTAATTATTATTTGTCAGGCATTGATAAGATTGCATAATAATTAGGCTGTAGTGACGTCACATGGCGATTCACGCGAAGAGGAAAACTCCTTGCTTCCAATCATCGTCAACCTGATTTACAGAGGACGATACAAATTACATGATATTAGATTATGGCGCCACAGAAATATTTTGCTCGCTTCATTGGGAAGCAAAGCGGCGATTCAATTAGTTGATTTGACAGACATGAAACTCAATTTAGAAGACCTTTTTTCGAAATGACTTGACTTTATTGCAATGTGTGATAAGAACCACTTTGTGTGGTTGAAGAACATAACAAAAGATGAAAAGCAATAAACAGATGTTGGAATAAATAAATCATGAACACAATTTTTTCTCGAATATATATTCAATTTTACATTCACAAATAAACACGTTCATATACACTTATGTACATTTACACTTGATGGGTTGCATAAAAACAAATACCGTACTGACACTCTTCTCGTGTGTGGGGTGCACGTTAGATACAACGGGATTAGGCAGAGAAACAGTAATATAACAACAACAAAATAAACCGTTACTGTAAAAATGAAAGTGGGAGAATGTTAAAACTGTGGGCGACATACTTGAACGAATTATACACACGCTTCGATCTGTTCTGTTATAAAATACATCAAACAATATTAGGGAAAATACACTGCCAAGCGTCTTATGGGCATATATGCGGAGGCTAAACGATACTGACTTAAAGACGTATCTCGGTGGAATACTCTGTCTTATTCGGTGTGGTTAAGATAAAGTGGTTACGCCAATAAAGCAATCGTTGGATAAGCAGTATGCAAGGAATTAAGAAGCAATGGTTATGCCCAGAGAGACAAATAAAGAACAAATTACAGTGAGTGTATTTAGACGGCAGTATCATACATATTGGGACAGGGACAAGCGTGCGAGAATAAACCAGTTTTGTTCGCATGAAAAATCGGATGTCAAATTCAAATTTTAACGTAATGTATACACACATGGGCGTTTTTCCTTCTCATAAGCTCCCCTGTTCTAACTAACCGAATTGTGAACTTGGCTTGTTGGAATGTATCAGTTTAGGAAGCGATCAGTCTATTAAAATACACACCGAACAATGATTTACCTAATTAAAGGTTCACGGAAATAGCGAGTTGTTTGCCCTGTCACCGAATATATTCCCTTTCGGCTTTATACTGACATACCGGGTTTTAGCAATCCCGTGTATACGGCTACGTCTATGCGGCTGTCGAGAAAATAAAACAAAACAATTGTGCAGTATTCGCAATTTTCTTGCATCTTGAAGAACTTTCATCTGCTTAAATATAAATATCTCTCCTAATAACTTAAACGTTTATATACATTACACGGGAAAACAAACAGTGTGTATTATGGCATATTCTAGAACCAAGGAACAGTGCGGGGGTTAAAGATCAGTACGACATATTTTTCACCGAACGAATAAACCCTCATATAATATAGAAAAACTCACTGAATATAAAATGAATATCAATGTTGGGTACTTACAATTCATGAATTCGTATGAATTGATTTGAAATTTAATTCAATATTCAACAATACTTTTGTATTCGTAAATTATTGTACGCATGCAAAGATGCTATTATGGTAGTTATCATCATACGGGTGAACATTGGTTATATATATATATAGTAAGCAAATAACACCGAATATACGGCAAGGTAAATACTACGTCAAATTTTAGTAAACACGCACTGCGTGCGTGACTCGAACCGGAGCTCGCGTATGGCACCTAATCGCCAAGCTTCACGCCACTTTAAGTCTTCCCCTCGGCCACCGGGCATCCCCCAAAAAGGATGCTTAATAACCGAGCTTATTACGTGCAGAGAACATGAAACCCGTCCACGCGATCCGTGCCACATTGGGGATGCCCGGTGGCCGAAGGGAAGGCGTGTAGTAGCGTGAAGCTAGGCGATTAGGTGCCGTACGCGAGCGCCAGTTCGAGTCACGCACGCAGTACGTGTTTACTATAATTTGACGTAGTATTTTCCTTGCCGTATATTCGGTGTTATTTGCTTACTTTACTTCCTATGTCAACAGCAACTATGAGTTTATATATATATATACTGATAAATACTCATTTCCAATGACGACAACGCTAATTTTGGCAGAGTTTTAAAGTTTTGTCTATGATGACTAAGGCCAGTGTTTATCTAATCTTCTTCAGCAGATAACGTACCATACTGATCGCGCGGGTGCACTCTCCGAACATGGACTTTATGCTTTGGACTCGGGGAAGAATCTGGTTCTTCGTCAGAGTCAGTACGGGGCTCATTGATGGATCCGTTCATTCTCACGATACCGTCTTTATAAAGTCCGTCACCAATGTCCCCTTTCTTATTCTGTGCCAAGGCTATGCGATAAAGACCTTTTGGCGGATCAGTCGTCAAAAGAACAGTGTCTTCAAACATTTGAGGACGCATGTCGTAGATACGTCGGATAATAAAAAGCATTGGGCAGTAGGCTATGCTGAGCAAACCGATTATTATATTCAACCACATAAAACCAATATCCCGTACGATTTCACCTGCTAGTATAGGACCAAAGGCATAAGCTAGAGAATAGGATATATCTGCTATAGCGTAAACACTTCCGTAGACAGAAACATGACGAACGTCAACTAAGAAGCCAAGAGTTGGTAGAAGCGCTGTGTCTATTAAAGCTATTCCAAAGCAGATGCCACACAACGGGACGATGAGAACTCCAAAAGTTTCTGAAAAAGGAACTATCATTGTACTAGCACCAATGGTGAATAAGCCTATACATGCAATTAACCACTGGTAGTGTGGATACTTGGCTGCCAGTTTCACAGTTAAAACTACGCCAATGACATGAGGCACAAAAGGAGGCAGCCATATTATGCCTTGTTGCCAACTAGGTGCGTTCATAGTGTCTCTCATCCAGACACCAATGGTTGGTTCTATAAACGCGAGAGAAATATTAGCTGTGGCTAGCGCTCCGGCTGTCGTGGCGATGTATGGGTCAAGCATAAGTTTATAAATAGGTGTTCCTTTTGGCATCTGAATACGTTTTTGACGGTCATACGGTTTGATAATAAACATCAGCATAAAACCATCCAGAAGAGAAATGGTAGCAAGAATCAGGAACGGTACTTTCTTGCCAGCGAATTCGTAAAGGATTCCCCCAAAAGGAGGTGCCACAAGACATCCGAATGAAATAAAAGCCAGCGCAATTCCAAGTGCTCTGGTCCTCTCTTCACCTTGTTGGAAGTTATCAGCAATCATGGCAAACCCCGCAGTATCTGCGAACGCCGATCCGACACCCTGTAGGCTCCTGGCGACAAACAAAACCCAGTACGTATCACCAAAGGCGAAAACTGCTGTGGCAACGAACATGATCACCAAACCTATAAGCATTGGTATGTCGTAGCCAACTCTGTCAATAAAAGTCCCAGAGAACGGATTTGCAAGCAACTGAACAATGGCTTTAGATGCGAAGAGAACGCCGAGCGAGATGTCTTCATTCTGGTACTCAATCGTTGTCTCTGTTGGTCCCGAACCATTGACGAGCGACCAGTTAAAAGTAGTGTTCAACTGGTAGCTTGTCTGTACTGTTTTCCAAGCGTCGACACTACGCAAGTAGTTGGGTATAATCGGAACGATGACCATATATAGCATATTATCTAGAAGCAAAGCTATACACACTATAACTAAGACTAGCTTTTTCTGGGTTTCAGGACTACGGACCTTCTCCAGAAACATCTGCCAGTACTGAGTCACCGACTCTGTGGGAATGCCTAACACTGCCATATTTGTTGATAGCTCGGTCACTTGCTTTACTTATTTGCGATTTGCCTTTATCCCCACACCGTCACTCCACGTCGACTCTTTGCGTAATAACCAGTCAGCAAGCAAAACGTCCGTCAGTTATCCTTCGAATAGAAAGAAAAGTTCCAAAGTCAGCGAGATTATATTCAGGTGGAACAAAAGCCAATATCATTAGCATTCACCGTCCACTGTAGTCCATGTCATACTTCTCGCATCTAAAAAACAAACTCGGTGCTTGCAGAAGTTTCAAATCATCTTAAAAGCTAGAGATAAGCTCTCTATCGATGGAATCAAATTGACTGTGACTTCAGTGCAATTAGAGAAAGCGTTACAGACGATCTCAATTAACAATGTTATTAGCGATTCAGCGGAGTTCATTTTATTGCGCGGAGTGACGTGGAGTCTACGAGTGGAGGCGGACATTATTCATTAAATCCCATTTAATTAACAGATATCTGTGAAATCCTTGAGTATAACAAAATGTATTCCGTGCTAGAATTATCCACGAGTATACAAGGTGCTCGGCACAAGCAAGTCTGTAAAGATACAAATTTATCTACCACTTCGGAATAAAAAAAAAACTGAATAGATATGAATGGTGGCATAATTACAGTTCTCAAAATAAACTATTCAATGAATTCTTCTACATAAAAACTGTAGATGCAATATTAAATTAACAAAATACATAGATATAATTATTCAGGTGTTACACCACTAATTCATAGTTTTCAAAATTTCGCATGCTAACATTCAGGCATATGGGAAATAGTTTTTCACGGCTAATTTGTATAACAAATTTTGTAACTGGTTTAGCGGAGCTCAATTCACAACTGTTTTCGTAGCGATTGTTTAGATGTTTATTGAAAGGATCGGATATGAAGTTGTGCAAACACTCTTCTCGTAGTGGGCTGACATGTACAGTTTCTTTAGAATACACAGGTAACGTGCACTCGTATCCTCAGATGCAAATCCCGCAGCGCAACTGTCATTAAATCCACACACAAGTCAAATAGCCTTATTAAAACATCTCGTTTGGGTTTAGCAGCAGGCAGTCAAAATTAAAGTACATTCAAAAAGACATAGTCCCGGAAATATGTCGCCTTTATTTAATTGACGCTTAAATCGGATTTCAATATCCCCTGGCGAATCCCATTTCCCCGCCGATAAATGTTCAAGCTCTTGTTATTTAGCAATAAGTAAATCGAGTACGGCTATGATCTTGCTTTAAACAGTCTAAGAAGAAGAAACTTGAGAGTATAATAGTTTCCACAGGCAGATTTCAAAACATTGTTATCTCAACCAAATAATACTTCTAGTTGTATAATACATTCGATTGTAAATGTGGCAGCCAATAATATTTCTAATTAAATTTTAACTAATGTCAAGTTTAAATTTTATATTTTATATTATTCATCAAAATTAATGTATTCACTTGAATGATAAAAACGTGATTGAGGCATATACATTCTAAATGTATAGTCATTGGGATATGCATTAATGCTTGTATTTTTATTCAATGTCAATGTGCTTACTGATTATATTTTAGAGTAATGCCATTTGGTGATATTCGATAGTTGTTCATATTATGTAGTGAGTAGAAATCCGTCTTGAGAGATGACCTATGCATATGTAACAAATTAAATATCGGATGTTATCGTTTTAATAAACCAATCCGCAAATATGGCATCGTGATATCGAGTTTCTTGCAAACAAAACGTGAGAGTTGTCCATCATGCGACGAAGACAGCTACTTTGTTGAAGAAACAAAAGAGGCAGTAAACTGTAAGCTATAAATGTCGATATTGATCACTTCCTTTGGGTATATATTTAAATATCTCAGGAAGCGACTGACGACTGCGAGATGAGACCAAATTGCGACATGTCAATATAGTGTGCCACGATGTTGAATGAAGAAAGGTCTAAGGTGTAGTGTATGTGTACGATCAGAAATGTGCCGATATAACGCACATCGCGCGAGTGGACATTTTCAATTTTAAAAATCCACTGATTTCAATTAAACATTGCAGTTACCTCCGAATAAATTATATTATATTATATTATATTCTATTATATTATATTCTATTATATTATATTATAATATCTCATTTATAATTTAGGATACATTACTGGACTCGGTGAAAAAATGAACACGGTGTTTTCCTGGTCACTCAAACCGCGAGAAGTTCGTCCCATGTTGACATCTGTTGTTTCCATTCATTACTGTCACGCTCGCTTAATCACTTGTCAGTCTGGATGTTTCTAATTGAATGGCGGAAATTTGTTCTGATAGATTATTTCCTAAATTGAATCGCAAAAAAGACACATAAACGAAGAGCGTTCCGAATTGAATAAAACTTGGTCAGCAGAATAACGGTATGCCTTATTAGGAATTTTAATAGAGAAGAACGATTGAATAGTTTTTGCCGAGGCTGAACAGCGTTACGGTAATCGTATCGATTTAAAAGTATCCGCAATGTGCATGGCGTGAATGCCCTTATATAGCGTGACGTTGTTAGTAGTCGGAATGGTTCGCTAATAGTGTGTTGATCATCTCTGAAATAAATCAACGTCAAGTTCATTGTTCGTACAAACAACTCATATGTATCAGCGATGAAGGTTTAGGTCAATGGCAGCGACACTGTGCACAAAGACGTGTTTATTCAGTTAACGATACTTTGGTAGTGTGTAGTCAATTTGCATAACGTCGTTAAAGAAACTTCTAATAATATTTCGCTGCACGTCAAGTTCACGTGTTTGCATGGGTGCTCACAATGCATATCTGCGTCAAATACAAATCTATCAAACAATTATGATAATTTAAATGATAATCGCAGCAATGCGAATAATTGTCGTTTTAAATGTATGCTTATCACGCTCGGTGTCCTTCATTACTGCCAAATGTATTTCGACAAAACATTCGATTTTGTTATTTGTTGAATTTGATTTAAAGCACAGATTCAACGTGGTATCCCAGCTCACTTAATTTGAATATATCCGCTTTGTTCACGTGGGCAAAGTCACGCGTCTCGGTATCCCACAATGCCACGCATCGACGTTGCATTATGGGTTTGTTTGGATACTAAGCATGGCATGTGGCGAAGTTAACCTTCTAATTTACGTGTTGTTATTAATATATGTCAAATGACTCAGAACAAATAGATGTATGCCTTTAAACCACACCATGCTATACCTAATTTTCGTTTGATTTTACCGAATGTCATTCAAGGCACAATAGCAGTTGTAAAATAACTCGTGATCCTGTGTAGTACCTGACCAAACACAAAAAGAAAATTGTGAACCGAGTTATCGGAAACATTTGATTCAATGTTTTTTTTAAGAGGGAGAGGAAATTAAATAATAATAACCAAGCAGTTTATTTAGTGCACGAGCCGTCAAGCACGGTCTAATAAATAGAACTTTTTTTTATTTTCCGCTGATTTATATTACATTGAGGGGGTCGAAGATTGTGACGTAAATGTGTTTCCCCGACCTTTATTGTTGCTATCGCTGTGCAACAGTAAGCTTTTTGACAACACATGGCATTGCGAGGACCAATCAACTATAGCAATGGTATTTTTTGTAAATTAAACGTTTTGTATTGTGCCGGCAGAGGAGTATAATAGTTTTCACAGAGATGAGGTAATAGTATAATTCATGATATGATTTGATTTGTCGGACGAAAAAAAAAAACGAGGACATACTTAATCGAAAAAGTATGTTGGTTTGAATGATTGACAATTGAAGGTTGTGGCACAGGGTCGCCAGCCAATGGCTCTACAAATGTGTCTGTTTGCAAATATGAATGAAAGATATATCATCTTACCAATATCACGCGATGTATTTATATTTGCGTTGATTTGAACATGATGTAATTCTGCTAACATATATGCGTCTGGTTAAATTTATATGCAACCGTTTCAGTTATAGTGGCGTTTGAAAATGTATTCAGCGAGAAGAAGATGACTTTAAAAAAAAGTAGTATTTAAATGAAGTTGCTCCCGGCATTGCAGTGCTCGTCTTTGCGTCGTTCAGTATACAGTCATCTATTTAATATTTTTGATGCAGTTTTGCTATAGGACTTAGTCAAAAAGTACGTTTTATGGCCGTCATTTGTGATTCGCATTATAGGAACTAGATCTTATTGTGATTCAAAGATTCAATAAAAATCATTTTTAATCTACATCGTCAATATTAAGAGAAACTAGTTTTAGATGCGCAATTGCTGAGCAAGCCAATACATGTATACAGTTGATTGTGTTTCCATAGTAATCCGTATCGATATTTTTGGAGTTAAATACTGACTAAAGATGAAATATGAATAATTATTAATATTTTTAATGTATGTTAAGTTGTTGAAAGCATTGGAATATGTTTTATCATGAACTAAAAACTATTGCAACACAAAACTAAGTTTTTTTGTTTTTTTATGGAAAAGTCACAACATCTGACACGCATGAGCACTGGGTATGTCGATACGTGACTCTCACTGCGCATGCGTGTAAGTGTTTTTTATTTGTCATCGAATACTGTTTGTGTGCAGCAAAAACAATACGAATTTTTTACGATTTTGTCAACTACATACATTATTACGCAACGTGAACAAAATTGAAACATATGTTTTCGTTCATACAGCTTCTTTAAATGCACAAACCACTCAATTGAAAGGTAACATCTCCGCGGAGTATACGAAACAAATTTAACAGAAATCGTTTTTTAATGCCACGATGTTTATTCATTAATCTGAAGTTAAAAATTAATATGCACCTGCCAACTCTGACCTAGTTTCAAGAACGCATGCGCAAACATAATACCAACAACTGTATTTTCCACTGAAGTTAAGGGTGCATCTGACAGTTTACTGACTTTCTCAGAAATAGAATAATAGTGCTAAGATCGTGAGTAACACGATGTGGTATGTTTGTCTATATGTTGCTACTACAAACACCAACTACCAAAATAAAAACAAGAACGAAAAAAAAAGC